AGAAATCAATATTATAAAAACACTCCCAAAAAACTAATAAAATAAAATAAAATGCACAAAAATATAATTAGCAAAGATAGTATTAAAAATAATAACAATAATAATAATAATCAAAACGGCTGCAAATTTTTACTCGACACGTTTACACCGGCGAACAGCCCCACCAAATCCTGTTTATAGGGCAGGTACGACCGCCGCCTCTCTCCGCCGTCTCGACTATACACCGGCGGCGGACGCGGCTTCACTTTTCCGGCGGCGCCGACCTTCTCCTCATCCTCCACCTTCCTCTCGCTACCGACCCGGCTCGAAAATACGAAACGGTCCTTACCTCCGTCGCTTTGGCTCCTGCGCAGCAGGTCTCTGAACTTCCACCGCTTGGAGCTCGAGCCGCCGGAGCTGCTCTTTCTGCACCGCCTCTCCGACTCCGCCGCCGTGGCGGCGTCCTTCGGCCGCCACACGCAGTACGTGTCCGCCGGAACTCCCTCCAGCTCGTCCGCCTCCGACGAAGAGCTCGACGACGCCGCCGCGGCCGCAGCCGAAGCCAGAGGCGTCGCCCTTTCCTCGATAAATAGCTTCATCAAAGGCACCCGAACGGTCGAAACGACGCCGTCCTCTGCCTCCTCCTCCTTTCCCTTCTCAAATTCGCTCCGTTTGGGAACCGAATCCGAAGCCAAAGTCGGGTATACGGCTCGGATCTGGCCGTTGCAGAAGATCTCGTCGGCTGAGACCGGCGACGGCATCCCGGAGCCTCTCCCCGCGAAAGCGAACTCGAATTCTCCACCGTCCTCTTCCGTGACGAGGCCGTTTCTGGTTTCTTCTCTCTCTAGAAATCCCCAATTCTCCTCTCGCTTCTCCAGGTAAAACTCGCCGCCAAATTCATCGGAATCGAATTCCCCGGCCACGCGCGCGGCGATTCCCGCGAGCCGAGTGTTGGAGTAGCTGCTGTTGAAGCTGGGAGATGGCAAGATAACAGATCTTTCATTCATATCTTGGAAATTTCTATAACTACCACTGGTTTTCCATTAATTTTCCCCAAATAAACAGAGGATGAAGATGAAGAGACTGCAACTTGTGAGAAACTGATTGTGTGCTTGGTTTTTGGAGAAAGTTGGTTGAATGTGCCCAAAGCGTGAGGTATAGCACATGAGATTATATAGATGTAGGGGAACCACCTCTTTAAAAAGAAAAAAAAAAGAAGCAAAAATAAAAAAATTGATAAAATTTTTAATCGAATCGAACCGAATAAAAAATCGAGTTGATTGCTTTTTGTGTTGAAAATAAGTGGATCGAATCACATTGAATTGTACGGTTGTATTGGGATTTTTAGATTTCGTTTTTCTATGCATTCGCGTTCGATTCATGCACAAACGCACATAATTAGAAAAAAAAAAAGTAAATAACACTGCTAAATAAGTGTATTGAATCATAGATAAATGCTATTGAGCCAATGGTTGGCTCCTTTATGGAGCCAACCACCAATGTTATAGTGTCACGTAGGCCATGTGGAGTTAATTATTTTTTCACATGACCTACGTGACACTATAACATTGGTGGTTGGCTCTATAAATGAGCCATGCTCCATAGCATTTCTCTTGAATCATATTGAGTTTATGATTTTGTGTGGTATTCCATTTTTATATGCTTTGAGTTCGATGCAAACGAAAAACGAAAATTTGAATTAGAACGCCAAAAATAATGTATATGGAATTATATTAAAATGTACAATTTAGT